TAGTCTACCGAAAAAAAGAGTCTACCCTAACTCTAAATCACCTTTAAAAAATGGCGCTTATACATTTATTAGTACACTTTTGTAATCGGAATATCAAATACTCGAATAATTTCCAACTGGAATAGTTAGCACTGCACCGACGCTGTAGATTGACGGTCTGTTATTAGTTACATTTCCAAAATGTATATCCAAGAGATATATACATATATCCAAGAGATATATACATATATCCAAGAGATATTCTGGAAGATTTTCCTAGGATCCTACCAAAAGCCAGCTAAATCCTGGCAGGGTCCTGGCGGGGTTTCTCAAGGATTCTGTCAAAAAATTTATAGGCTTCTTACTAGGGCAGCACCAAGTCTCCTATTACTCATCAATGTTCTGAGTATTCTTGTATACTTTACAACTTTTACTCTCAAGCTGCTGCAGTTCTATAGGTGGCGTACTCAAAATATTTCCAAGTATTCAAGTTGGAGAATCAAACCGTGCTGTTCTATAGCGCGACGACTACTGAGCAAATCTGCTACACAACACTCAGAAAATGTGTCAAGAGAAAGGTAGGTAATGCTGTGAAATAAAAAGTAAGAAGAAAAGGTAGAAATAGCAGTACAAGACTAGTGGAGTATTGTGCCATGTAGTTCACAGAAAAGCTTTATTTAAAAATTTTCAAAGCGACAATCAAATTAACAAACAAATCGATGTTGATGTCGTCAACGATTTCTCGTGATATTATAATCAATATTTTGGAATATACACCATTTTTATATCTTTTTTAGATTCTTCTAAGACAATTGACATACCCATTAACATATGTGGAACAATATGACAATGAACAAACCAAAGTCCCGGATTATCTGCAATTAGACGAATTTTTTTCCAACCACACGGTTTATTGTGATTTGTACTATTTACGTATTGAAAATAAGCATTACTTGTAGCGTAAAGCATTGTAGTATCACGTAAAAATGGGTGTGCGAAAAGGTGGGTATCTTTTTCACGATAGACACCATCTCCATAAGATATCTCCCAAAACATATGTCCATGGGTATGCCATGGATGTGATTCACAAACACCACCTGCGCCAACTAAATTTTGTAAAATAATATCAATAACTTGTCCTTTCTTTATAACATATGTTTTGAAACTTAATTGATTATTTGAATAAACGTCTTCTAATGCTGATTTTGGTTGGGACAATTTTTCGAGCATTAAACTATTATTGTTAACTACCCACTGTATACCTGTTCCATTGAATGCAGCTTGACCTCCAGCAAGGACAAATTCTTGATTTGATTTTCTTGGCACTTTACCACCATTATAATTATTCGTAAAATTTGTAAGCGGTTGTAACTTATTTGTTAAATATTCAACAGTTTCTTTAGGTAATGAGAATGTTTGATTAGCAATAAAAATTTTATTAACCAACGATGCGGATTTATAACGAAGAATAGCAATACCATTATTTGGCTTAACTAATCTCCATCGAATACTTGCTTGTATATAATAATTTTTAATCGGCTGGTTGGTTGTATCTAATATAAACGAATAACGCTGACCAGATGCAATTTCTAAATAACTAACAGACAATGGTTCCACATAGTTGCCATCAACTTCAATCAGTAATAATTTATGTTTTTCTATGCCAAATACCAGCGTAGACAATGTTGTTGCACCAATTACACGTATACGATAGCGGTGTCCTCGTTCAACATTTATAACAGAATAACCAGCACCATTAACTGTTTCACATGAACTATTAAACATTGTTTTACCATTTATAATAATAGCGGATGGCTCACCCAACCATTGAAATGGCACTGCAAGTAAACCTTGTTCTAAATGTAAACGATCATTATGCCACCAATCACTCAATAATAATGTTCTTTCTTCAGTATAATTATAGCGTGTACGTATTATTTTATCGTTAGAACGATCAACAAATATGAGTGAACCAAAGGCTGTCATTGATTGTAGCCCGATATGTGAATGATAAAAAAAAGTACCTATGCGTTGCACACGAAACACATAGGAACAGTTTTCACCAGATTTTATTGGTAACTGTGTTAAATATGGCACGCCGTCCATTTGTGGTGTTTGTTTTTGCAATACACCATGAAAGTGTATAGTTAAATCCTCATTATTTATTAGCTGGTTATAAACATTTACAATAAGTATATCACCAATTGTGGCACGTATTTCCGGACCAGGAAATTGTTTATTAATAAGTACAGTTGATTGACGGCTAATATTCAGTTTAATACAATCAGGTTGAATATCTTCATTAGTGACGAATAATTGATAATAACGACGACGTGCCAAAACAACGTCTATCATTGCTGTTGCAAACAATAAATAAAATGTTAATATCATCCTGTTCGTTTCACCCATCCTTGGTACCTTTCTTCAATTTTATCTTCGAATGAGAAGGTAGAACGAGATAGAAGATGCATATCCCTCATTATGTAAGGTGTTGACAAAATTAAGTAGAAAAAAACGTTACTCTTTTCGTCATGATTAGAGAGAGTTCGCCGAGTGACGTAGGAAAGTGTCATTTTTAAGGTTTCCAAAATGATTTCGTATAAAAAGAGTCACACATCAGTTCTTTACAAATCCATTTCGTGAATAATATTCACGTTTGACCGCTAGAGGTCTGCAGGACAGTCCCAGTTCCGTTCCCGCGGGCCTTTTTACGGCACCGGAATCAGAAAAATCTTTTTTACGGAACCGGGACCTAGAGGTCTGCGGGACGGTCCCAATCCTGCGGGTTGTCCCAGCCCCGTGGAACTTTTAATAGGACCGGGACCAGGTTTTTTTGAAAATAGTCTTGTATGAAGTATAAAAATTTCTTAGTTTCTGTGCCTGTTTGTATGTAGGCAGTAGTTCTGCGAGAAAGAATTCACAC